GCTTTTTCATAACTTTTGATTTCTGATATAATTGTGTAATAATAAGAAAAAGTAAGATTGAAGTTACTTTTCTAGCTATATTGGCTGAAGTTATTGTAGATGATCATTTGAGCTATTTTTCATATAATTTTTATTTTTATTTTATTTATTAATAAAAAGTATTTTAAATATAATTTTTTATTGATAAGTAAGACCAATTAGCCGATATACCCATTTCATCCAGAACTTCATAAATTTCAGCAGAATAGCAAATTTAGCCAATTTCCGTGAAATTTGACAATGTTTTCCAAACTTGATTGTAATTAGTACTAGTACTATTTAGAAAATAAAAACATGACAATCTTATTTTATAATTTTTAAACATATTTAGTAAAAAAAAAATTTAAACATTTTTATTCCTATTTCGAGAATTTTCCCTTCATATAAACATTCTTTATTTTAGTTTTATAATTTTTTGAGTAATATTTATGCTCAATCATTTATATAAAAAGTATATATTTTTTCAAATTCTTCACACAAAAAGCTGGTATAATTTACTGTATGACGTCTACGTACTATCAGTTGCATTTAAGATTTAATCTACTCCATGATATATTGCCAGCTGCTTTTGGCTACAATGGGGACATAATTTATTTTAATCGAGCACTAATGGAGAATATATTAAATTTAAATATTCATTCCATGCATTATAGGGAGCCTGTGCCCCCACTACCCTGATGGTACATTTTCTTACTACCCACAAGGTACATGCACTCTTGTGTTTTGGGGGAAGCAAAAAAAAATTGTTTTTTTACCCATTGATTGCGGTTTATGGAGAATTAAATTTTGGTCGGATATAGATATAATGCTGAACTGTTGTAATAGTTATTGTCGTTCGGATGGAAATAAGAAACAATTTAGCTTGTAGAAAGATAAATAAATAGAAACAAAAGAAAGAGAATTTAATCGGGAGAAAGTAAATAATATACGGAGTAGCTTCAAAGTATTTTTCCTAAAAGTTAGTTATAAATTTCAATGGACACTCCATTGCTCTCAAACGGACAAAGTCAAAAGCAACAATATCCAAATCTTTTGTTAACATGAATAAACATATGGAATCTAACGTAAAAAATATACATTATAGAAAGAGATCAATCATCTACCAGAATATTGTCATCACTCTCTCCAAAATCATACTCTCATATATCCAAGAAGCATCATATCATTTCTGACTATTCTAATCCATATTTGTTTGGGTCGTCGTCTCCTCCTCTTTCCTGCTCTAACTCCACCTATCAACTTTTCTAACAGGTGCATCAATCAGCCAATGTAACATGTGCATTTAAGTCACACTCATCCACTGAATGTGACCTTGCTTCACCTCCCAACAATGCATGTCTGATTGTTGTCCAGTAAAACTTACCCTTTAGTCTAGTTGACATACTTTGATCACATATAAATCTTGACTCATTTTTACATTTCTTCAACTTGTTTTGATTCTATGTAATACATCCACATCCAGTTCACTATCCTCAATTATGGAACCCGAATAATAAAATTCATCATTGACTATGAAGCTGTTCCGTTCACCTGATCTGAATGTTTCTGATCTGAATTTTTTAAGTTCTGATCTGATCTGATCTGAATTTTTCTGATCTGATCTGATCTGAATCTTTCTGATCTGATCTGATCTGATCTGAATCTTTCTGATCTGATCTGAATCTTTCTGATCTGATCTGAATCTTTCTGATCTGATCTGAATGTTGCTGAACTGATCTGAATGTTGCTGATCTGATCTGATCTGATCTGAATGTTTCTGATCTGATCTGAAAGTTTCTGATCTGATCTGAATTCTTCTGATCTGAATCTTTCTGATCTGATTTGAATATTTCTATAATTGTAATTATAATTATAATTATTAGATTTATAATTGTAATTAAAAATATAACTTAAATAAAATTACAATTATAATCATAATTATAAAAAAATAATAATTAAAATTAAATTTAAAATTATAATAATTATACTAATCACACTAATTATAAGTACAGATACAATTATAAATGTAATTATATTTTTAATTATGATTAATTTTATTATTATTATTATTGTAATTATAATTATAATATTTATTTCTATAGTCACAATTATGTCTATAATTACTAATTTAAATATATAATTACTCCGAAGTAATAATAATTACAACAATAACAACAAGAACAACAATCATATTAATAATAATGATGATTATAATTATAATTACATTGTAAATCATAATTATAATTATAATTATAAATATATTATATTATATTATATTATATTATATTATATTATATTATATTATATTATATTATATTATATTATATTATATTATATTATATTATATTATATTATATTATATTATATTATATTATATTATATTATATTATATTATATTATATTATATTATATTATATTATATTATATTATATTATATTATATTATATTATATTATATTATATTATATTATATTATATTATATTATATTATATTATACTATACTATACTATACTATACTATACTATACTATATTATATTATATTATATTATATTATATTATATTATATTATATTATATTATATTATATTATATTATATTATACTATACTATACTATATTATACTATATTATATTATACTATATTATATTATATTATATTATATTATATTATATTATATTATATTATATTATATTATATTATATTATATTATATTATATTATATTATATTATATTATATTATATTATATTATATTATATTATATTATATTATATTATATTATATTATATTATATTATATTATATTATATTATATTATATTATATTATATTATATTATATTATATTATATTATATTATATTATATTATATTATATTATATTATATTATATTATATTATATTATATTATATTATATTATATTATATTATATTATATTATATTATATTATATTATATTATATTATATTATATTATATTATATTATATTATATTATATTATATTATATTATATTATATTATATTATATTATATTATATTATATTATATTATATTATATTATATTATATTATAATAATTTTATATTATTAACATTATTATTATTATATTATTAATAATATTATTATATTAATATATTAATATTATTAACAATAATTATAATATAATAATCATAATTAATATATTAATAAAAGTGATAAATCATGTTTGAATTTTTTGATCTGATCTGATCTGATCTGAATGTTTCTGATCTGATCTGAATGTTTCTGATCTGGTCTGAATCTTTCTGATCTGATCTGAATGTTGCTGATCTGATCTGAATCTTTCTGATCTGATCTGAATGTTTCTGATCTGATCTGATCTGATCTGAATCTTTCTGATCTGATCTGATCTGATCTGAATCTTTCTGATCTGATCTGATCTGATCTGAATAAAATAAGATTAAGGAATAAGTAATAAGATTAAGACGAACGGAACAGCTTCTATATCTCCTCACCAATTAGGGTAATCCGACTGTTACTGCTCCTACCTCCATCAAAGTTATACTCATCCTAAAAAACATTTAAGCTACGTAGTATTTTGATGATCACTTTTGGTCTATCCAACAATCTTTTTACTGGATATTGACTTTCTTATTTCGCGCATTCAATTGTATAATAATAAAATGGGAAAAGGTGTAAATAGGCCCATGTACTAACAAAAAAAGGTCAAACAAGCCCTTATTTAGGAGACTTTGTCCGGCCGTCGCCATTTGGAGTGGTTCCCGGTGGAATTTTTTGATGAATTTGTTTGAGCATCTTATTCTTCAAGTCTAGTTTGCTCATACCAAATTTCAGCTAAAACTTCAATCGGGAAGGCATTCAAATGAATTCTTGAAGATAACTGTGTTTCTAACCGCGCAGTTATTTTCAAGAATTCATTTGAATGCCTTCCCGATTGAAGTTTTAGCTGAAATTTGGTATGAGCAAACTAGACTTGATGAATAAGATGCTAAAAAAATTTCATCAAAAAATTACACCGGGAACCATCCCAAATGACGACGGCCGGACAGAACTTCCTAAATAAGGGTTTATTTGACCTTTTTTTGTCAGTACATGAGCCTATTTGCACCTTTTCCCTAATAAAATTCTATGAATAAGATTAGAATTACTTTTATAGCTAATATTGTTAACAAATATTTTTTTATTTATTTTTTCATATATTTAATTTATAAATGAAATGTATTTTAAATCTAATCTCTTCACAATTCAATAGAAGCAATTAATACAGTTGTTTTTATTAGCCACAATTTCAATAAACTCAATAAATTCATTTCATTTATAATCTCACTCTTACTAAATCACTCTTTAGTCTTTCTGATCTATAATAAGTTGTCTTAGGCTCTTAACTTTTACTCTTAGCATAATAAATTGCTGCTGCAGTCCCCCATTTGTATGATTATTCAATTTAAGCCCTCCTCAATTTTATGTTCAATTACTTGAATAGTCAATATGTTCATTCTCATTTCTTATAAAATTTCCAATTTAGCCTCTCCTAGTCATTTTGATATGATCTAGTGGCTCTGTTATATATGGGAATTTGTCAATATATTCTCTCACGAACTAACAATAGTCTTAAAATTTTGACATTCGTTTGCACTTTCTGATAGCATGAATTTCCTCTCATGCTACGGTAATCCTTACATAAGCTTAGAAACTATCACATCATACACTCAAACAAGCACATGCGTTTGTGTGAAAAAACAAAGGATCCAACTATTTCTAGGCACATGTGGACAGTGACATTACTCACATGGACAGCGTTGACCAATCCCAAATACTAAATGGGCAGTAAAAAATGACATCATTTATAGCTAGTTTTATGAGCAAAATTAGACTGAACACCATAGTTCCAATAAAAAATGAATATGACACATAAAATATGAATGTGACACTCCATCTGCTAAAAATCTATTTGATGAGGTGAAAATGCACACACACATGAACACACATTAATGTGAAACTCCATTTGCCAACAATCTATGAGATAATGAGGTGCAAATATTAGTTTTATAAACCTATGGGATGCACACATGTTTTTTTAAACCATAGGTCCAAAGTGCATTTGGAAAAAAAATCAAATTCTCTATAAAACTTTGCGGTGATCTATGCCACTCATAAGCTTTTATCTATGCGGTAATGACAAAGATTAGTAACATGGAGGAATTATGATTCTTTCCACACAAAAAATCCCCAAGGTCTACACATATAAATGGCAAGTCTTTATTCAATCAAGTTTTGTGCAAACACTACAACTCAATTACATCTAAACTTGACTGTTCAGCACTCACTCCGCTTTATTTCCGTGTTACTATATATATGTGTGTGTTGACTCAAGTACGTTGTCGTCGTCTATGCCATTTGCAGGTTGTTTCTTTCTACAAATAGAATAGAATGTTTATGCATTTACACTCTCATGCGACCAGTCTTCTTTCTACGGGCACCTGCAAAGAGTGATCCAAGTTATACAGAGCAGGAGAAAGAGTTTGAGAAAAAATGAAACTTGGAAGACCAATCAGCTAACACAAAGTCCATTTTAGAATTTACATCAGAGAAAACTCAGTTATGGTTATAGATTCTTCTCCTTGGGAGTTAATTGTATTTTTCTCTATAATGCTATTTTTCATTGAATTGGAGTGTCACTTTATAACATGGATTAGGTTTATATCAAGGAAGTTTCACTCACATTAGCTAAATATGAAATAACAAACCATAATATAAGATCTTATATTCCTCCTATCACGATAACCTTTGACGATGTAACCTCAAACTCTAATATGGTATGAGAGTCTACTTGGTCCCCAGCCATTAATTGGTTCCTTTGAAAAAAACTGCACGTTCACATGGTTTGTCGAGCCGTGAGGGTTTACCCGGCCTAAGATACGAAATAAAAATACAAATTGCAATGCTTAATTGTGAGAAATTAATAGAAATATTTGTTTCACATCGGCTCTATAAAAATAACAGATCAAGTCTTGGAATACACCGACCTACTGTCAAAATGACCTTTTATAGTTGATACCCCTAATTTTATAATCTACCAGTTTAGCTCGCCTATTTCCACGAGGTTTGTGAGAATGCTACATTTTTATCTTATACTGAAAACATAGGATACTGGCTTACTAAATTAGTCAATTCAGCTTTACAACACACATATTAGATATGTGTGTGTGTATGTGTGTTCAACTAATATACCAAATCAAATGTAGAGGGGATAAGTCATTAGAAAGACATGAATGAAGTTTCAAAATAGTAAAGTCCAGTATGCTGATAGGGTCATTCAATTATGTCAAAATAGACTACTTCTGCCCAACAAGAATAGCTAATTGAAACCAATCAGTTAGCTAACTGAATCCCAGGTCTTACTAACCCATTATTTTCTCTTTAAAAATCTGATTTGGAAATCTTAATGGTAATGTCTACGCGTCTTTCCCCACTTGCAATTGTATGTGGCTTAACAAATGCCATTTAGAATGGCAATCTGAAGAAACAGCTTCACTAAACATAACAATTTTGTATTGGCTAGATTAGATAGAAGAAGTACACCACTATGCCTGCCAAGTGCTATTACTAACATACTAGTACAAATTGTAGGTTGTTTTAACTTTTTACCCCTCTGAGAGTCTCTGGTACACTGGGAATGAAAGCTAGGCCACCAAATGGTCCTAACAGGTCATTTGGTTGGAGGAGGAATCTTTTCCCTTGTTTACTCCATCCATGGAAAAGGGATTCCAGTCATTCCACTGTTCAGAAGTTAAGGGTATGTTTGGATCCCAGAAAATGCTACGGAAGGAAAGAAAACAATCTACTAAGAGTTGTTTTCTTGTATTTGATTTTTGCCAAAATGCAAAGGAAATTGAAATATGTAATGAGTTTTTTAACATTAGTTTAGATTTCTTCTTTGTCCTTGAACAATAGGAATAGATAGGATCAATAAAGTGAGTTTGAACAAATATTAAGACATTAAATTATTCAGTCTGAACAAAACTTTTATTGTCCTCACTTGTATTTTCCTTTATTTTTCTTGCCCTAACATTTTACGCTAGGGCAAATGAACCTTAAGCTTGCTCTCTTGGAATTGGTTTTTCATTCAGTTTGAGTAAACAAAAAAAATTCTTAAAACTTTGTAGGTTTATATACATTCATTTCAGACTGGAAAATGAAAAATAGATACGTTAGGAATGAAACACATCCAGAAAATATACATTAATTTTTTAGAAAACTAAATATAGGGGCATCGTAGTATGCACCTATTTATACTATTGATTCCTAAATCATTCCAAGGTAACCAAAAAATAGAATATGCACTCCCCCCAAATTTCCATTCCTGCCCAAAAACTATATTTTCCCTCTTTATTCACAATTCATTTTAATCCCGAGTAATAAAGACCTTATTCTGTTTAGTTTTGTCTGGTTTCTTTTCTCTAACTTACCAGCAGAGGTTTTGCTCCAAAGCACCCGACCATCAATTGCTGAAAGATTTTTATCATCCAAACGCTTCCAAGTCTTGATAGATTTCACATCTCCCCATACTCCTTTCTCCGTCTTTTCCAAAGTTGCTACTACCATTCTTGCCCTCCTTGCCCATCCAGCTTTTCCGTAAGCATGATACCCAAACCCACCAGCATAACACAGATTTATCCCCAGCAACTCACCACAGAAATCATTGATGTGATCATGCCCAGTGAAAACTGCCTTCACATCTCCAGTCTCCACCATTGTTGTGAAGAACCCAGAATTTACAGAAGCAGAACTAATGCCTTCCTGTTTGACGCCAGTGAAGTTTGTCGAGTCAAACATTGTAAATTCAGGCAATGGGATATGAAAATATACTAGGCTTGGTGCAGAAGTCTTCTGAGCAGCAGGACCACTCTTATAAGTCCTCTGCATTTACAAGAAAAATTAATTATATTAGGAAACTAAACCTCAAAAGAGGACAAAAAGATGTGAAGATGGTTCAATGCTTATAAACAAATTCATTTTGTTAGTCTCACATCGGAAAGATAAAACAACTAAGAGATTGGACTAAACCGAATCCTGAACATATCAGATCAGCCTGCCTACTTCCATCAACCACCGCACCATAGTGTGGTCTGTGGCCAAATTACCTGCATCCGACCAGACAAATACTGCCGTGATATTAGCACATTGCCATAAAACAGTGGTTCATGGTGTCTTTCAGCGCAGCTGCCGCATTCAAGCTTCACTTTCAGTGAGAGTCAAATTAGAAGTGAACAGTCGGGTAGCTTCAACTGGCTAGATTCAAAATGAGTAGTTGCCCACTTCAGGCAGGATTAGAGTCTTAAGTCGGACAGGTAAATAAAACATTGATGTTTTAAGAAGACTTTGAGTTGAATTAGGCCTTCTTTGGACTTGTTTGACCTGAGCGTATTAGGGCCACTTGAGCCGAACCTAGTCCTCAATTCTAACAGATTCAATATATTTAGAAGATAAGCAACACTTTTCATTATTCAAAGTGGTGCTTAAAAGGCTTAACCTAGCGACTACATAGCTTGGGAATAACAAAACATAACATATGTTGTGTGGGACATCATTAACACAATCTTTTTTTAAGTAAAAAGGTACTGAGTATAAGTACAAAGGTAACCAATCGTACCTAGTGCACTAAACTAGCACGAAACTTACACATGCTTAGCTTTGTGCACAAAACTAGCAAGAAACTTACACATGCTTAGCTTTGTGCAAAAAACTAGCACGAAACTTACACATGCTTAGCTTTGTGCACAAAACTAGCACGAAACTTACACATGCTTAGCTTTGTGCAAAAAACTAGCACGAAACTAGCACGAAACTTACACATTCCATCTGTTGGCTATCAACTCAAACCGTTAAATTACAACTATATTGATCAACTAATTTTCTATTTTACAAATTACGAAACATACACTAATGGTCTGCACCGCCAAGCTAAGTCATGTACTAATGTACAACTTTGATTCTTTGAGCACAAGCACTGAACTTTCACCATGATTACTTTGTGTTAAGAGATGAAGTTCATTCCCCCACCCAAAATGAGCTATTATATTAGAATCTTCACAATGAATTGTTTCATCAATCGAAGATTCTGTGAAGAAATCAATAGAAGTGTTTTCCACTTCTTTATTGATCATTATGGTCCAAGGTGATACTCTTAGTGGGAGATTTAGATATTTATAGGTTTCATCCCACTTCACCTTGACACAACGCATTCTGATTTTGGCCATTCATTTAAATCAAAATCTCCAACCTCAACAATATCACCGGATGTTATAAATAAGATAACATTAGAAGCAGACTATTTTACCCTCAACTAATCAAGTATAAGAAGTGCAAAGGTAACCAATTGCACCTAGTTCACAAAACTAGCACGAAGCCTACACATGCTTAGCTTTGTGCACAGAACTAGCACGAAACTAGCACGAACCTTACACATTCCCAGATTCCCTCTGTTGGCTATCAACTCAAACCTTCAAATAAACATACTTCAACAATATTGATTAACTAATTTTCCGTTTTAAAAATTACGAAACATACACTAATGGTCTGCACCTCCAAGCTAAGTCATGTACCAATGTATGGATTTGATTCTTTGAGCACAAGCACTGAACTTTCACAATGATTACTTTGTGTTAAGAGATGAAGTTCATTCCCCCACCCAAAACGATTTATTATATTAGAATCTTCACAAGGAATTGCTTCATCAATCGAAGATTCTTTGAAGAAATCAATGAGTAACGGAGCAGTGATAGAAGTGTTTTCCACTTATTTATTGATCATTATGGTCCAAGGTGATACTCTTAGTGGGAGATTTAGATATTTATAGGTTTCATCCCACTTCACCATGACACAACGCCATTCTGAGTTTGGCCATTTATTTACATCAACATCTCCAACCTCAACAATATCACCGGATGTCATCATGACTCCCATTAGATTAGCATATGCATCTCTCCTTTGGTATTCCATTGTGATTCTATTTTTGATCGCATGGTTGAAATTATAAGCCTTCATGTATTCTTCGTACTGAATCAGAAACTTTATTCACACAATCATATACAGTTTTGACATTTTTAAACAGTAGTTTCGCTGGTACCTGAAGCTTACGAGAAGCACGTTGGAACCAAACTTGTTGTGAGGGCTTAATCCAATTATAACCAAGGATAGAAGGGACATTAGAATAATCCCCGCTATCAAGGAAGAAAAGATTAAGAACTGATTTATTAGCCAGCTCAGAGCCATTAACCCCGTGAACCTCCAGGTTATAATTTCCAAAACCGTCAATATCACCATGAAGCTCAGTGGGATTCAACTGAGATAAAGTGTTCTTCATGCCAACAATGTGTTTCATCACTCCTTCTCTTGAAAGTGTAGATTCTTGATCATGGTTACCCAAGATTGCTGCCCAGGGAGTGTTTGAAGATATAGCAGGGGCAAATGCGGCATTCATAGATTTTGCAGCATCGGCGGCATCAAATCCAAATATGTTATCTCCTGGACCAAATCCATTTTTTTTAGGAAATCTCACAAAAACTAAGGAATCAAAATGGAAAAACTATTTACCCTTATTTCTGATGTGTTATGATTCCCTTATTACATGGCAGTTTGCAACCTAATGCACTAAGTCTTCTTGATTCCAAATCCCCAATATTCATCTAGAAGATAGTACTTTGTAGTTCAATAGAGGGAGTTGGAGAATAAAATTGGAATTATATGTGGAATTCCTAAAAATGAGATTGCTCCAAATAGGAGTAAAACATAGAGAAAGTGAATAAATAGGAATAACTATGTTTTATTTCGAAAATATGAGCTGTTTGGTTCTATTCAACTTATAAAACATCCCATTTGGGAGCTACTAAGTCTTATTTTAGGATGCATGTTCCCTTGTTGATAGTCCTATTTGTCCCCTTGATGCATGTTCTAGTCCTATTTGAAGAATTATCTCACTTCTAAAACATCAAATAATTTAGGACAAATTATTAACGCCAATTTGGGACTGAGGAAAATAATTGATTCTCTGTACATTTCAGTCTTTCTTGATACACCATACCGCGTATGAGCATTATTATTCCGTACTACATTTGTTTCTATGTCCATGGAGCATTTATTGCATTTTCTAAATTGACTCTTGAAAATTGAATATGACAGACATTGGAAAACATGCTGTATTAAATACGAAGTACTAGTGAATTAGTTCATGCGGATAAAATTTGGTAAAAATAAAAATGAATAAATACCATCAAAGACAGTAAACAAAGAATCATCAAAATGACAATGAATCTTGGCTTATTGAATGAAAAATATTGAGATGGGGATGTTTTAGATACGATGAATACCTATATGAACATCAACTTTTTTTGTGTGGATAGAATCTACTCATGTTTTGGTGGCTGCAAAAGATCCACTCAAATTGCAATAATTGTATTATGCATGAAAATATGTATTAGATTCTATGCCCAAAACCACAACTGCTCTATGAAAGGTAAAAAGATACAAACTTTACCAAATTCGCAATAACTATTGGCTTATTAAGTACAGGTGGAGGGGCATTAATCAGTGTTAGTACAATACCAGCTGCCTGGCAGCACAAGCGACGTCGTTTGACTGGGGAAAAAGTGGGGTAACCTCGTTTTCCGTCGAGCCGGATTTTGATTCTTGAAATTCCGGTAGACCCACGGACGGGTCGCGGAGAAAGAGTAAAAAAAAATGGGTACCTGTGAAAACGATGAGGTGGGGCTTTTCGGCAAGAATCATGCGGCGGATGAATGCGGTGGTGTTGAGATCGGAGCAGTACGGCACCTGCTGCGGCAGAACGTCCTCGCAGGGAGTGACTTCGCCGCCGGCGAAGTGCATGTCCGCCACCTGAAGTATCCGAAACTCTCCATTCTTCGAATCAAATCTTAGCCGCCGCCGCTGCTCGGCAACTGCGACGGAGCAATGGAAGGCAATTACCGCCACGGCCAGAACCAGCTTCCATCTTCCTAGCTTCATTTGGTGTGAAATATAAACGACGACGCAGACTTGTTAGGCTGCTTCACAGTTTTTGTGCTCAGAAATATTGTGTACATTTGTCATCCAATGATTTGAATTAAAGTAAATAAATCCCAGTAATAATTACATCATCCGTTGAACTTAAAGATATGACTTGGACGGTTTTAACCCTTGAGGAAGTAGGAAGAAGTGGTTCATTCAAGTGAGGCTCTTCATACCATCTTTAATTAACCCTTCAAGGGCGGAGCCAGAAAAAGGTGTGAGGTGGGTCGGAATTTATAAAATTATATAGAATATACAGTATCAAAATGATGATAGTTTTTTTTTTGAGTAAAAAATGATGATAGTTATTATACAATATTTGAGTTAAATGTTTCATATGTACCTGAGATAAATAGTAATTTAATAAGCGCAATTTTCAATTAATGTATTAATATATATGTAATGTATCATAATGTTCACACAACTAATGACTGAATAAGGTGTTTTATTTTTAAATTTAAGAATATAATCAACGTCACACATCAAATTTTGCTTATTTCATGTTAAGATGATGCTGATTTTTCCAGAAGTCGTATCTTTTTACTCGTAATGAGTTACGGGACCCATAATATATCAAATCGAAGGTATTTCAGAGCTTTACATTCTTGAACTTTCAGCGGAGTCGAATGACCACCCTGACCCCCTTACTCCGCCCCTGACTAACCCATAGCTGATACGGAGTTAAGGGTCTTTAATTAATGCGTTAAAAACTGGTGGTCGGTGATATACGAAGTATAAATTTTGGGTATAGATCTCCTTGATACATCAAAGGCATATATGTTTAGATTAATTATGCGTTTAATGTTTTAAGGAACAAATTTAATTATCAATAATATGGAATAGTTTAACGTTTTTGTATAATTTTGATATTACGATAAATTACGAGCATCGTCAACTATAACACTAATCGTTTCTTAAATCTTAATGTTATGTGGGTGATTGGAGGCTTGAAGCTGAGTTTATATATCACAAGAGTTTGTCCCATTATATTCGAAAATACGATATACTGGTGTATATATAAAAGGACGATATGAATTTGTGAACCTAACCTCTTTAAAAAAATTACAGGATATTATATTATCAAACAATCATATTGAAAATCGCATACACTATCACACAACTAGTCGCACACTAGCATTGCAAGGACGTACGGTGTCGAGAAAGACAAAACTAAACCCTAGAAGAAATGAAGGTAAACCCGCAATATTTATTGTCTAAATATTTATTATTGTTTGTGGATTTGACTAATTATAGTTTTATGTTTAGAAAAATGAAACTCATTAGTTTGTGGTTACTTGTAGGTTTTGATCCATAAGTTAATCCACTGGTATAGACATGCATGTTAAAATGATGAAAAGACTATGTGGATTGCACTCTTTAATTAAACAAAATTCTCACACCGATTTTGCTCTCGTGACCAAATGAGTGTTTCTCTAATTAAACAGGGGATTCCTTCCTTTGATGTAAGAGAGTCATTCTAACAACATAGTGAGTTTAGTATGATGTGTATTAATCTTTGGTGACAACTCCGGTATCTTTAAAAAAAATGGGGTATCGTACCTACCATCCATTTGATAAGACCACATCACTTTATCTTTTTTAATTTATGTTTAAATAATTCAACTGTAACATTCTCATTGGTTCATGTGGACAAAGGTATGATACCTTATGAGTACCACAGAATCTACCTTAATGTTTTCTGAATGCTTATCTTACCATTTAAAAGCTCTTGTACTTGGTTTTTTGGGGGAAGAAAACCAACAACTTTATAATAATAAACTGTGAGTCAACCGGGTTACAATCCACGGTGGTGGAAAGTCATAAAAACAACTACTCGCATGCATAGGAATAGCAGTTCTAGCAATAGTATGAGACACTTGGTTGGCTACTCTGCCGCACCACTTATTTTGAATCCCAACTTCTTCTTTCATGTGATATTTGATATCTTCAAAAATAACCATGATTTGCAACGCTTCTTTTAGGCATGTTAAAAATGAACCTTAAGCATGGTGAAAATGTACTTATTACAATCTCAAATCCATCTTTTATTTTAGTTTTCTACAACTATTATGTCTTGCTAGCAAGGAGAAATATTGTAAAAACAATGAAGCAAAAACACATGCCGTGAAGAAACTCAAATCCGATCCTTAATATAAAGTGGATTCTACTATACAACTAGTATAAATTGCTCACATTCAACTAATTTAAGAGCTCATGCCGTAATTTATTGGTAGCACTTTTAAATACTTTTTACTTGTATGATCTTATATGATCTTATAGATGTAGGAAAGAACTGTTATAGTCAATTTTTTGGATTCGGTGAATAATTGCTCATATACTTCTATATACTTCTACGTAATTGATACAAAGAAAATTTGCTTAGTGACATACTAGAAAATGTTATTTTAAAAAAAGCCTGATTATGACTTATCTGCTTATCTAGAATTCAAAGTCTATATACGAAGTATTAATCTTACTACTGCACTCTATTCAATCGCTTAATTAATTAGTTGAAATGCTTAATAGCACTACCTTGAATCATGCAATTATTTGGTGGAAAAAAGTAAATACTGTGCTATTGGCGAATTAAGGCATAAAAATATATTCGTATTTGACTAATTAAGATTATACTTCGGATTATTAATGAGAAATATTACATCCGGATCTCTCGTAGAATGTGGAGAAGCAAGAGGGAACCAATGGACCATAAGCTTATGGTCATGTTTGACTAATTGGATTAATCAATAATACATGTCAATACTCATTTCAAGTCAATAAGTCATAGTGAACCATGACTTTAGTTAGACTCAAGAACAATAAAAACAAAACAATAATATGGTCGACATTGGGTTGTTCCAAAACCAATGAAAAACTATGTTAAGAATCATGTTACAACTTACAACGATTCCCTTGAAACCAAATAAGATCGTAATGTTTTGGTTCATTCGAAATTTAACAAAAATATTGATATTAAAACATCAATCGAATAAAGATTAAGAACTAACCATTCTTGTAAAAGAGGAATTTTTATATCAATTTCAATTTGTTAGTTCAAACCATTACATATATATATATGCATATATGTGTGTGTATCAACCAAATGAACCAACGTATACTCCATGAGTCGATCGAAGACATCATATTTTGGAAATGGTAATAAAATTTGGGGAGAAAGTCGTATTGCAATATACTTAATTAAATAATGACTAATATATGACTAAAATAAGTGTATATATGAGACACAAAAGTGACTTCTAACTTGCAATGTTATAACACTAATTATAATGATAGCGACTTTTTTACGTTTTAGTCCATAACAAGTTTTATTTTAAGAAAAAACTTATAAATTTAGTTCTTCATGTAATATTCCCAAAGATTAACAAGTAAATTATTGCAAATATATATGGACTAATAAAATAATATAGAATTATTACTACATTTAAAAATTCATTAAAGCTTCATTTCGAGTGAGTTGCGACTTAAATGTAACAAAACTAAAGAAAATTACAATAATATGTGTATAACTAATTTAAAGATAAATAAGATTTGCAAATTTAATTTACTCACTATGCTAAGCGTAGTTCAATAACCAACATCTTCATTGAAAAATCTTAATTAGAACATTAAAAGCAGACTATTTTACCCTTCAAAGTATAAGTTGTAAGTACTAATCACCATATAAATGCATTATGCATATCATGTCCAATTGTCTTTTTTTGTTCTTTAATTGTATTTTCAAACATATACTTCAAATTTGAAATCAATTATGAGTCGACATTTTGTCTTAATCCCAAACATGTTTAGTAATAACAATGATAATTGCTATAATATTATGATGACAAAGCATCCCCAAAATGAAAATCATGTTTGGGATAGTCAATGCTTAGAAGGGAGTGAAGATATAAATCATGCACTAAGATCTATGACCCGCTAAACAATAAAAAGGTCATTAACTAAGATGTACTCCAATGTGTATTTAACTGAAATTTCAACCATACCCACACTCCATGTCTTGGTGGATGTAACAAAAAAGTTAAAGAAGTGTTTTATTTTTCCCTTAGCTTCCAAAATAAAACGTATAATGTCATTCATCATTAACAATGTAGGCCGGGCATATCATAATTATGCAATAACCCTTTGCTAGGGTGCCACCTTGTTGAAGTAATTACCGGCCCACCATGTTGGATTGTTTTGCTGGCCTACACTAATATAAGTTGTAGTATAGCTAGGGAAGAGAGTTAGTATTATATCATGTCTGTGCTTTGGACTTGGTCTTGGACGGAGCAATGATTTAATTTGCATCTTGGGGTGATTAAATTAATTTACCATTTTTCGAATTTTAGGATATGATGGCTATCCAAACTGGCCTATACATTTATTAAAATTATATGTGCAAAACGCTTACCAATACGGAGAATTATTTTATTTAAAGGCATGAGAAGATGAATGTTGTGAGTGAGAGGGGCAGTCTGCCACCCAACTCTCTTGGCCCGGCCTTTGATTAAGTATGACTCTAGTCAATGGCTGTAGTTCACAAGAAAATACTCCAATGAGCTGGCAACAAGATATTTTTTGTGTAAACTTTAACAAAGAAATTCTTAAATATTATTGAAACAAAAGTTACTGATAAAGATGTATTTAAAGAAAGCTACTATGGATATTGCCACGCAGGGGCGGTCTCAAGGGCGTCAGGGTGATCAGCCGAACCCGTTAACATTTGAAAATATAGAACTTTGAAATACCTTCGATTTGATATATTAATTATGACTCTCATAATTCATCATGGGTACAAAGTTATGACTTCTAAAAAATTAGCATTATCTAAATTAAAATGAATAAAGTTTAATTCAAAATATTGATTATATTCCAAATTTTAAAAATAACGTATAGCCGATGATTCTTAGGTGACATGATCGACTTAGCTAGGGACAAAGCAAAAACAATTTATTTTACTGCTATGAGTGCTTATTCAATAGCCGATTCATTTCTGGTAAGAAATCTTGATATTAAGTCGGGTGAGATGAGAACTATAGAGTTCTAGGGTAAAGCAAAGAGTCTCACCCAAGACAGTCACCGATGCGGAAACCCGTCGATTAAATCCGTATAAAACATGTTTATAATATATATGACATAGATATCAAATTATAACTCTATTACTCTACCACTTAAACTACCATTTATCTAATCTACATATAACGGGTAAAATGCACATCCAACTCAGTGTTGTCAAAAAACGATCCAACATTTTTACTCTGTATGTAGTTGAATTACCCCTCCTAGTTCGTTTTTCTAGCTCCATCACTGTTGCCACGGTAACTTCTATTTCATATACCGTAGTAAACAATCAAAATGCAAAGTATAAATCACAATATATGAGTTC